CTCGATTCAGCAGCACTTGGTGTTTACATAGTCACGTAACAGTGAGAACACTGGAGGGTTTGAGCAGGGAGCGACATAACTGGATTTAACCAGTTTACGTTAAAACATCACGTATGATTACAGTATTAAGTATACTTATTAAAGTATAACTTGCAGAAAGTAAAATGAACCCATTTTAGGTGTTCAGTTTGATGGATTTTGACAAATGTCTGCAGCTGTGTAACCACTATCACAATAAATATAGAACATTTCAATCACCCAAAAGCTCCTCTTGCGCCCTTTCCCAGTCAGTCAGTAACTCCCCGCTTCATGGCCCCAGGCAACCACTGATCTGCTTTCTATCACTTTAGATGAGACTTATCTTTTCCAGAGTTTCGTGTAAATGGAATCATGCTGTATGTGCTTCTTTGCGTCTGGCTTCTTTCACTCAGCAGAATGTTATTGAGATTCATCCATGTGGTTGCACCATCAGCAATTCTTTTTTTACTGCTAAGTGGTCTTCTGTTGTATGAATGTGCTACCATTTGTTCATGCATTCACCTAGATTTACGTTTTAAAGGGACCCTGTAGAATAGACTCCAGGGGCCAGAGTGGAAGCAGGAAGACCTGTCTCAGGTGGTCCAGGTAAGAGATCAAAGTGACTTGTCACATCTGCCCCAGTGCCGTTCTGCAAACATGGCCAAGCACATCCCCACCTCAGGGCCTTGGACCTGCTGTTCTCAGCCCCGAAGGCTCTCCTCCCAGGTGTCTTCGGAGTTTGCTTTCTCACTTCATTCAGGTCTCTGTTCAGCTGTCACCAACCTCCCCGCCCCCCAGCACCCTTTGTCTCTTCCTTGCCCTGTGTTTCTTCTTTGCCCTTATGGCCACACGACGTTATTCCTGTTTGTACACTTCTTGTCTGCTGCCCCCACCAAAGTGTGAGCCTCATGGTGGCGGTGTCTAGAACATATGCATTTTATAAATATTTGTGGAGTGGCTAAATGTGGGCTCCCTGAGAACAGGGTCTGTGTCTTTTGTCTTTGTCACTCTGTGCCTGGCACATAGTAGAAGTGCAAGGTGTGTTACTTGGACAAGAGGGAAGCAGTTGAGGGTTAAAGCTGTAAATAGTAAATTTCCACCAGGACGTGCCTTTCAGGTGGCTTCAGGTGCACTTCCCCAGGTAGAGACAAGGGCCTAAAAAAGACATGGGGGGCTGGTCCAGTGGCGTAGTGGTTAAGTTCGTGCGCTCTTCTTCAGTGGCCCGGGGTTCGCTGGTTCGGATCCTGGGTGTGGACCTACGCACTGCTCATCAAGCCATGCTGTGGCAGCGTCCCACATACAAAATAGAGGAAGATGGGCACAGATGTTAGCTCAGAGCTAATTTCCCTCAGCAAAAAGAGGAGGATTAGCAATGGATGTTAGCTCAGAGCCAGTCTTCACAAAAAAAGAAGAGAAAGATGGCCCAGGTTGACAAGCAGCAGTCAGGGGTGTGGCGGTGAGCAGACTCGGAGGCTGCAGGCAGGGAGGCCGCCAATGTTCTGAGTGTTACATGAGTAGTGATGTGAGAGCTTCTCCTTGGGGAGGGAGGGGGAACCAGAGGGACCCCTCCACTCTACCCCAGAGCCTCTGGCCGCTGACCTTTGTGTGCCCTGCGTCTTCTCTCCCGCTGCTCAGACTCCCCAGCATAGTTGTGGAGCAGGCTACCTCTTAGAACACTTGACCAGCTGGCAGAAATGTCCCAGAACAAAGTAAAGAGACCATTAACAGCTGTCGATTGATCTGGGCATGAGAGTTGCTGTGCTTGTGGCAACAATAGAACTTAATTAAATTGGCTGGTTTGGCAGCTCCTGAGATGCTGCCTTGATCTCTGTAGCTTCCAGGTGGCCACTTCTGGGTTACAAACACATCCTGAAATTGGAGGTTTGTTTTTGGGTGACGTGCCTGCTGTAGTGGTTGGATGGTAATTATGTAGATTTTCCTCTGAAACTTAATTTCACAGTCTGTCAAAACGGGCTTGTTATATTTATCTCTTAAATCATTAGGAAATAATAATTAGACCAAAAGTGGTTTAAAATGTTTCTGTATTAAAAATAATTTTTAGCTTGAAACTGCTGCTCATAATTGGTTCTTGGGGTTGGTATTTAGAACTGTCTTAGGAGATTCTAAATGAAAAGATACCTTACGTGCTTGGCTAGAGGATGGTTTTTAGCACTGTCGCTTTGCTCTGTTGTGGGTACACAGGAGAGGCAGAGGGGTTAGCATGGAGCCTAGGGTTGGGTCTCACTGGTGGATGACGGTAGTTAAGCTTCATGGAGGGCTCACTCTGCAGGCCCTGTTCTAATCGCTTTGCTGTATGAACTTATCTAATTACAGCAAGTGGTGCTGTTACTCTCCCATCTTGCAGATGAGAACACCAAGTACCCAGCCCAGAGTTAAGGAGCCAGTCAGTTCTGGAACCAGGACTGGAGCCCAGACAGTCTGACTCCAGAACCTGCACTTTTGACCACTCGCTCCTACTGCTTCCATTTATTCAGCACCTACTGCATGTCATGTCCTGAACAGATGCTAGCCCGACTAAATCCTCACATCAGCGCAGGTGTGATTCATGGGGTGGAAGAGGAAACCAAGGCTTAGAGAATTAGAGAATTAAGAATTTGCCCCAGGTCATTTCTCCTTCCTTCCTTTCTCCCTCCCTCCCCTCCTCTCTCCCTCCTTTCCTTCCTTTCTTCCAACACATGTTTACTGAGAGCTTAATATGCATCAGGCACTGTCCTAGGCCCTGGGGTTACCTCAGTGATCAAGGTAATTGTCAAAAGACTGTGATTCATAGTCTCGTGATGCTTCTATTCCAGTGGGAAGAGACATACAGTAAACCAATAAATAAGTAAACAAATGAGAAAATGCCAGATAATAAGTTACCAGAGAATTAAAATAAAGTGATGTGATGAAGAGTGAGGGGTCACTTCTTTAGATGATTCTTAGGGAGGCCTCTTTGTGAGGAAGTGACATCTCAGCTGAGATCTGGATGACAAGTCAGAGACAACCATGCAAAGACCAGAGGAGGAACATTCCAGACAGAGGGAGCATGTACAAATGTCCAAAGGTGTGACACAGTGGGTGAAGGGGAGAGTGGGCAGAGAGGAGGTCGGTGGGAAGGAGGGTCAGATCATGGCGGCCTTGATGAGGCAAAGTGGAGACTTAGGGCTTTATTTGTAAACACAATGGGAAGATGTTGGAAGGTTCTAATTAGAGGAGTAATGGGATCTGATTTTTGTTTATAAGAGATCGTGTTGTCTGCTGGGTGGCAATTGGTTTGTGGGGGCCAGTGTGGCATCAGGGAACTCTTTAGACATCTGGTAAGAGATGGCGATGGCTAGTATTGGGGTGGTGGGTATGGAGAGAGCGGGGTACATGTGTTCAGGTGTGTTTTGGAGGAAGAGATGACTTGGCTTGCTGATGAATTTGATGTAGGGAGCTAAGGAGAGAGATGAATTGGGCCTGAGCCACTAGGTAGATAATGATGCAGTTTACTAAAATTGAGAATGCTGGAGTGAAGCAGCTTGGGGAAAGTCTAGGGTAGACATGCTGAGTTTGTGTATCTCTTAGCTGTCTTGTCAAGTGGGCGTCTCCATATTTGAGTTGAATTCCAGAGAGTGATTAGGGCTGGAGATCTGGATCTGGGAGTCTGTGGTATACTGTTGATACATAAAACCATGGGAACTGGAGCTGACCTTGGAGAGAAGGTAGATGGAGGAGAGGACCAAGTCCTGGGATGTGCCAGCGTTTATTGGTTGAGCTGAAAAGGGCCAGCCAGTGAAAGAGAAGGAAAGCCAGATGCGTGCAATGCCAAGGAAGCCAAGAGAAGAAGTGTTTCTGGAAAGAGAGAGTGGGTGGAATACTACAAGTAAATTTAGAGTGGAGAGCGTGAAGGTCATTGCTGACCCCGGGCAGAGCCGTTTCAGGGAAGCCCGATTGGAACGAGTTGAAGAGAAAATGTCAGATGTGGAAGTATATAGGCCTCTAGACAACACTTTCAATGAAGGGGGCAGAGAAAGGTGGTCGCCAGAGGGGTCAAGTTAGGGTCTTTTCAGACATGGAGAATAGAGCATGTTTGTTTCCTGGTGGGAGACATCCACATGGGAGGGAGAGAGCCATGGCGGAGAAAGAGGGGGTGACTGCAGGGGTGCTGTCCTCGAGAAGGCGTGATGGTGTGAGACAGCGGCCATGGAAACAGGAGGGATGGCTGAGAGGGTGAGCAAGGGGGAATTTCGGCGTTTTGGGTGATGAGAAGGTGAGGGACCTCTCACTTGACTGCTTCCAGTTTTCCTGGATGAAGAGGCAAGCTTGTCAGGCGGGGGTTGGGTGGGGAGTGTAGTGGGTTTGAAGAGAGGAGAGGGTGTGGAGTGGTCCATTTGGAGAGAAGGCAGGTAAACTTACTAGGGGCCCATGGTGGGATTGTAGCATTGTGTCCATTGGAGAACAGTGGCCATATGTGTTCTCCAGCAGGGGTCAGCGGTGGTAAGCAGCAGGGCAGGCAGGTACCTGGGTTTAACCAGGGGTGGGGGCTTTCCAGGTGAGAACAATGGAGAGAGGGAATCCAGCGTGGGTTGGGGGGCTGCAAGGTTTAGTGAGTGGCAGGGCACCCAGGCCTTTCTGTCTCCACCCAGCCCTGCTTCCAGCATAACCATTTCCACCTCTTTCTCCTCCTCCTCCCTCTGAGAAGTACCAGCAGGGACTTCCCAGGCTAAGCAGTCCTGGACTTCTGTGACTGAGTCCTGATGGAGTACCCCTGGCGCCACCTCCCTTCCTCCCTTCCCTGTTTCTGAACATTTCTTTTTTGGTTGGCTCAGGATCCCAGAAAGAGAGGAGAAAGTGGTGGGTGTCCCAAAAGTCAGCTAAAGCCTGTGTCAGCGAGGTGCTGTTGATGCCCTGTCTCCAAATCTGCTTGGAGGGATTCAGCATATAAATCAATGAAATAAAGACTGCCATGCCCCAGTGATACCTTTTCTTTTTCTCTCTAGGTTTTGGAGACGGCTTCTGGTCAAGGATTTGCCAAAACCACTGGTGAGATCCTGAGCTGCCATCTGTTCCCAGCAGTGTCTTTGCAACTCCTGGTTGACTTCTCCCAGCCTCCTTTCCAGCTTTGTTCCATGTTGACCCCTCGGTGTAGGAAATATCCCTTTTTATTCCTCTAGGATGCTTTCTTGGTTAAAGAATATCATCCAGCAAACTCTGGCTGAGGATCTGGAGGCTGAGATGGAAGGATGTAGCTTCACAGCCCATTTTATCCCACCTCTGAGGGCGGGCCAGGGCCTCGTGGGGGGCAGGGGACACGGTCTTCTAGGGACAGCCCTGTTGCCTCCAGGACTCAATCTTCTGCTTTCCAGCTTGTACACAGCTCACTCCTAAAGCTTCTGGTGACCCTGGAGAGACAGAGAAACTGAGGACAACCTTCTTTGCAGTTCCCATGGAAATGAGGTGAATGGAGGTGTAGAGAGACCAGCAGGGCAGGTGGTGACTACAAACATCGTTCAGTCCCTGGAGGGTGGGGTCAGGGATGGTACCCTCTGGGGATGAAGTGTTCAGGAACTCCTGCACAGACCCAGGCTCTACGGCTGTGACTTAAGACCCACAGGGACTTAAAACATCTGTTTCCATTTATGTGCAGGGAAGGCCTGTGACTCTCCCTCCCCCTGGATGCCATGAGGTCAGCGGGTCCACCACATCTTCTGCTTTAACAGTGGACACCATTCTTAATGTCAGGGATGCCAGAATAATCTGTTTGACTTGCAATGCTATAGATTTTGTTTTTTCAAAGCAGCAGGTTTGCCTTGCTGACCACGTGTGATTTAGGCAGGTGATAAAGTTTGTGGCATGCCAGGATGAAGTTGGGCATGTGCTGAAACACAGGGAGGAGTGGTTCTGGGTTGTGGACGGTCCAAACTCGCATCATTTAGAGTCTCATGAATCACTTTGGCAGGCTCAGGATCAGCCCAGCAAGGGCTTTTGCCCATCCCTCTCTATGGTGTGTTTTTGGCTTCCCTTCACTGCTCCCCCTTCCGAGACTCTCCAGCCCCTGGGCCCCCTGGCACGGTGCTTCCTCTGCTCTGCATTGTGATGACTTGGGCATTCGTCTTGTCCCCTACCCTGGAGGGGTGGGCACGGCCCTCCTGCTCAGAGTGATCCTCCTGCCCGTGGCCCGCCCAGCATCCCTCAGGACAGGTATTAGTTGAATCGCTCCTTCATTCACCCCCCTCACTTTGTTCCCCTGCTCCTCCCCCAGAGGGTCCTTCCTGGTGCTGCTCCTGAGGGAGTGCTTCCGAGACCTGTGCTGGCTGGCCACCATCCACAACATTGGTGGGGAGGTGGGGCTGCTGGTGACCAGTATCGTCCCGCAGACCCCATTCTTCTGGGCCATGCACGTCACTGAGGTATGGGCTTGTGGTTGGCCCTGTTGGACTTTGGTGCCTTCCCGTGTAGCCTTCCTGGGGTGAGCGTGGTGATGGGGGCCAGTCAGTCTTGCAAACCAGGATGACTGCAGTCTGATCCCTGGTTTCAGTCTCCTTCTCTCTCCCACCTTGTACCTTTGGTTCCCTTGGGGCTGGTTAGTGGTGCTGAAGTAACAGGTGACATCTGCAGAAACAGATGTGTGATGCGATGCAGGTAGTGAGGCTTGTTGCATTTGTGCCACCTACAGACTCTGCACCAGAACATGCAGGCGCTATTCAGCACCCTGGCCAAGGCAGAGGAGCAGCAGCCCTTCCTGCAGGACTCGGCCGTGCAGCGTGGGACCCGCTGTCTGGCAGAGTACCACCTGGGGCATTACGGGTGGGCCTGGAACAGGTGTGTGCCCAGCAGGGCTGGAGGGTATAGGAGAGGCAGTGGGCAGAGCAGTCCCTTCCCTCCTTCCCTTCTCCCTCCTCTGGACTCTGTCTTCTTTCCTGCTGCTTCCTCTCTCAAGATCTTCTCTGCTTATCATCACTTCCCCACCTAAGGAAGGGGAAAAGCAAAGAAACTCGCTGCTCCTCTTAGCCTTGACCTGCAAGCCCTCTTTGTTGAGGACTGCTGTGCATGGCACCAGGTGGAACAGCCCTCCTCTCCCTCTGGCCAGATGCTGGGTGCTGGACCGGGTGGACGCCTGGGCTGTGGTCATGTTCATCGATTTTGGCCGGTCGGCCACCATCCCAGTGCAGTCACTGCGCAGCCTGGATAGCGATGACTTCTGGACCATCCCCCCTCTGACCCAGCCATTCATGCTGGAGAAAGGTAAGCCGTCCTCTCCACTCCTCCTGAGGACTTCAGGGACAGGAGATGCTGTTCCTGTCCCTGGACCTCGGACCTCAGCAGGGAAAAGCATATGGGGAGCAGAGGCCTTCAGGGCGCCCTTTAGCCTCTCTTCTTTTGATCTCACCCCGGTTGTTGGCATCTGCAGCTTGCAAAGCTGCTTCTGGAGGGTTGGTTTTCGCACCTGGGCTCCGTGAGCCTCTGGATCCCGAGAGGGACCTCAGGTGCTGCCCCAAGGCTGAGTTCTCTGGTTGGGGGGGCAGGGAGGGCAGGCTTCTCATCCCTCTTGTGCCAGAGCCGCTCAGCTGTCATCTGTTTTATGTACATTGAGTTTTGCTTAAGATTTCATTGGAAAAGATTTCTGTTATAGTAGAAAAACAGGATTTGAAAACCATTGATGCGAGTTAGCACTGGATTTGGGCTCTTCTCCTGATGGGCTGCTATTTAAATCCAGACATCTGTTGGGGCCTCAGTTCCCACATCCTTGAGATGGAGAGGCTCCTTCTTTGCCCCTTCTCAAGATTGGGGTTAGGTGAAACGTGAGGATGGCAGAATGCTTTGGGGGATCAGGGGGAGAGGCGGAGGTGAAGAAACGCGGACTGACACACAGCAAGTAAGATGGAAAAGCACCTCGGCAAAGCACAGAGCCAAGGCTCCCCGGGAGGCTGACAGGGCTTTGCCCAGTGGTCAGGGGGCACCACCCAGAGGTCGTCTTGGGTCATTGCATGAAGAGGGCCTCTGTTGCCCAGCCCTGGGAGTAATAGGCCAACAACCAGGGCTCTGGAGCTCCAGGCAGGCTGAGTCTGACTGCCTGGTGTTGGAGGGTGGCCCAGAGTAGAGGAGCCCCCCTGCCCCAAAGAGCAGCTCCCAGCCTGTCAGAGGGGCCGGAGTGCCCGACCCAGACCCGGGGTGCTCAGCTTTCGTGTTGCTTCTGAGACGGCCCTGAGAGGTCAGGCAGGCAGGCAGGGGTCCAATTGTCCTCCCTTTATGGATGAGGAGAGTCAGTCTCAGAAAAGTGAAAAGACCTCCCTCACGTTTCTCACTTCCTGAGAAAAGTGAGAAGACCCTCCTCAAGAAAATAGCATAGCTTGGGATGGAACTGAGGTCTGACACTGGATGTGAGCCGTGCATACACAGTCCCAGAGTTTGGGGGGATGGCGGGGTCTGAGTAGGGCAGACCTCCTGGAGGAACGTGGGTTTCTGACCAGCGCACTGCCCTGCCGTGTTCCTGCATGGAAGAGTGCTCGCTCGTCGTGGTGAAGGCCTCTCTGCTCTTTAACCTCCATCTTTCTCCAGCCCAAACTCGCAGAGCAGAGTTGAGGGAACACAATTTTCTGTCCTTAGAATTTCCCATTAGAGAATGTAACATCCCGGATCCCTGTAATTATTTTAACAACAATAATAAGGCCTCCTTTTGTGTGCTGTTGCTTTGCCCTCTCCCTCCCACCTTTGCAGCATTTACCATCTCATTTTATCCTGGCAGCAGGGAGTTAGCACTAACTAGCAGAGACTTGTCGGTAGGAGCTGGTCTGCAGCCAGAGCCTTCCCTGCCACCGCCGCTGCGGCCTCTCACTTCCCTACCTTGCTCCTCCTGCCTGACCAAGTGCCACCGAGGTTTTGTTGTTGTGTTTTGTTTTGTAGACGTTTTGAGTTCGTATCAGGTTATCCATCGCATCCTCAAAGGGAAGATCACTGGTGCTTTGAACTTGGAGGTAACTGGCCCTGTATCTAGCTCTTTCCCTCCCCTCCGCCCTAGGGGTCTCAGCTGCAGGCCATGTTGAGGCATCGATACTGCGTGGTTACCTGGCCTGTGTTCCCTCAGACAAAACAAACTGAGGTGATCCGAGGGGGTTGGTGGACTGGCCAGGGCAGCCCTTCCTTCTCACTGAGTCTTTCTCTTTCTCTTCCAGTCGCACATCCTAAAGTTTGAAGAGTTTAAATAACGTGGCTACCATCAGCGTGTTCTCTCCCCTGTCCAGGTTCTGCCTGCTCTGCCCTCTCATACCCCTTTCACTCTTGAGGCCTTGGAGGTAAACAGGCCACACTGGTGCCCAGAATTAATTTGATTCCCGTTTGCCTTTACCCCCAGCTCACCTCTCAAAAAAGAGAGTAAAGTCTCAATTTGTCATGTTTTCAGTTCCCCAACTCAGCATGAACATTTGAACTAAACGTAGGAAGCTTCCATGAGGTTGAAAGCCTGAGGGGGCCAGTGTATTCTTTCCTGTGTCTCTTCTTTGCACTCTAAAGCATGATATAAATTGCCCTAACAGATTCTGGAGAAGGAAGGGGCCCACTTCTTAATTTTTCTGGCATTCCATTGTAGAATCAGGTGGGGAGCATTTAACCAGTGAGCCGTCACCTTGATGAATAAACGTTGGCATGTTTCACAAGTCTGGGGTGATCTATTCCTGTCTAGCTGCTTCTCCCCAGGCCTGCCCCCTAAAATGCTGCAGTGAGATTGAGAAACTGCTGTGTGCGTCACGCGCTCCCTTAGCTCCATCCATGCAAACCCTGCCTGGGGTATAGATGCACACCTGAGGGATAGGCTAACAACCTAAAAGTTGGCTTCATTTCTCCTTGCCTTCCTCGTGGAGAGAAGAAACTTGGTTCAGGGTGATAGGGTCTTGATTCTTTGTTTATGCTTTATAACTTCATTAGAACCTTAAACTTAAGGTCATAAAAGGGTTTGTTAGGTTTGACAAGAACAGTGGAGGATTCTCTCAGAGTTGGTGGTATACAACTCACAGTGTTTTCCTCTGTATCAGGGGAACATGGACCCCATTATTTCTTTAAATAATTTTATTAGAGCCAAACTATTTAAATAATTTTATTTGTTTCATCCTTTGGTAGATGAGAAAAATACATTACAAAATACATTATACAGAGGACAGCTCACAGTACACATTACTAAAAACACAGTCTACATTCCAGCCAAGGCTGGTGATAAGTTCAGAAGAAAGCCACAGAGGCCTTGAAAATTTCAGCTCTATGGAATGAGTTTTCCCCTTGCGTCCCGTCTTTATCTCAACCTCAGCATATATTAGCACCCCATCTCAGGGGTGTGTGGGTAGAGTTAGAGCAGCATTGAGTGGGACTGGTGAACTCATCCACTTGAAGCAGCAAGACATTAAAATCCCTTAAAAGAAAAGGGGGTTAAATGACCAATGTTAAAATTGCCATGTCTCAGACAAAGCATTACAGAACTCCTCTGGTGTCCTACAGGTTCCCAGGCGGCCATCCCAAGTCGGGGCTTTCTAAGACTAGTGTCTTCACTTAGCCATCCCTGGCCTGTCATTTCAGTCATGGTACAGTCTGTAGGCATAGTCTGTCCTAAGAGGCTGTCTCAGCCCCAGAGCAAGCTGACTGACCAGGAGAGGCAGGCAGCATGCATCCTATGCAGACATCATGCCCACACTTTTAAACGGTGTGTACAGACACCACAGCACCGACAGCTCTAGATCAGCAGACTCCCCCGTCACTCTCCCCATCCCAGTAGTTCCAGAGCCTGGGGTGAGGACACAGGTATACAGAACCACCCCACTTCAAACTAACCCTTTCCAGCAGGACCCACCTTATGGGAGTGGCTTGAGAGAATCCATAATTCTCCAAGCCAAGCAACTTACTTCAGAGCTCTGCCTGTCTTCTCTTACAAGACTGAATGAAACAAGAGACAGGAGGGTGAGCAAAGGAGCTACTGAGGACCACCCTTCAGTGCTCCTTAGGAGCCACTGTCCAGGAGGGCGGGGGACCAGTGAACACCAGAGTTGTAGTTACAGCATACTGCTGAGACCAGAAAGACCACACACGCTTAGGAGACTGAGCCGCTGTCGCCACTCATTTAAAAGCAGTTCTGTGAAGCAGCCTCTTAAGCCTCCGTCCTCCTTCTTGTTCTTAAAACTTTGAAAACACCTGTGACTAGAAGCGAACAGTAGCCCTAAGGATTAAGGTCGTCATTTCAGACTACTGCATTGTAGGGAGAACAAGTGCTGGTTGCTCCAGAGGCCTTCAGGAGAGATCTGGGTGCGAGCTAGGTGTGTGCTTCAGCTCCACCTTTCTCTGGCTTCAGAGCCAAGTACAGCCTCTCATCTCCACCAAAGGCACAGTGGACTTGCACCCCTCTCCCACCACCCAACTACTTCAGGGGATGGGGGTGGGGTAGGATGTGGGAATAAAAATAAAGATGAGTCAAGACCAGCATCTTCAAATTAACAAACTGTAATTGTTTTCCCAAAGATACATTTTTTTCATACACATCCATCATACACTGTAACCAAAAAAAGCAGTGTACATGAAATAAGAGAAAATAAATTAAAAATCCATAGCATAGGTAAGGAGGCTCTAGTCTGGAGCACAGCTGAGTTTCCAGCAATATAAGGAGGCTTGAAAGTTTCTTTTATAAGAATGCCTGCTAGCAAGGGTTCCAGCCAGGTGGTTGGTTGGTCTGTAAGTCAGTCTTGAGTACTTGAAACAGTTCTGTGTTTGTTTTTTTTCCTTAGCGTTTAGAATAGCCATCATTGTCCTGCAATAGGCAGAGCTATCACGTCCAGGAAAAATGAGGGAGGGAACCACAGAGGCAGCGTGAGATCCAAATACAGCATTCAAAGGTAATTGGTCCAGTGGTGCCTGGGGAAGGAGGAGGGGGATGACACTCCAGGGTTAGCCATCTTCCTTTGGGGGTGTGTACCAGCCTGCAAAAACAACGAATAAAACAGTCAGTGAGGTGGAGGCTGAATGAAGCCCACCCTCCCAGCAGCAGTGACTGAAGACATCTCCAGGGTTACAGGCTAAAAGATCCCAGGAAGGGATTCCCAGTGTGGGGGGAGAGAAGGTGTACGGGAAGCGGAGAAGCTGCCGACCTGGAGATCTGGAGATCATAAGGAAAGGGAGAATGAGGTGCCCAACCTGAGGTGACAGGAGAGTGAGATGAGCTTTCTCAAAGGGTGGTTGGGAAGAGGGGCAGCACCAAGTCTACAGGTGGTGTGATGATTGGTGCTTTTCTGGGAGAAGAGGTTGGTCCACCTTCTTTGGCTGTGTTAATGGGTGAGAAAGGCTCAGAAACCAAAAGAAGGGGTTCTTGCTATTTGGCTGGAAGTGAAAAACCTCAGGCCTGGCAGGTGTCCGAATCTCGAGTCCTGGCTCTAGCCTCACCGTTTTTTTCGTGGATCTGCACCAAGGACTTGTAGGACTGCTGTGCTCTTGTCAGACTGTATTGAGACTGGGGAGAGGAAACCACCAAATCAGGTCATGGCTAGCTGTGGCCTTACTGCCCCTCACCTTCCACAGGCTGCCACCCGGAGACCCAGGAGTCCTGGCTCCCAGTACTTTGCTCTGTTGACACACTAAGTACCCTCCACCTGGGAGGTCCCTTTGGGGCGTAATCCCATAGACTTCCCTTTCCAGACTGTGCTCTCCCAAAAGTCTTAGGATGTCCCTCAGACCAAAGGGGCATCCTATTCCCTGCTATAGCCACCCTAGGCCTGCTCCTATTCCAACTATAGGCACCCCAGACCTGCTTATCCTATGCCACCAACCCAGAGGCCTTATCCTTTCCTCAGAGGTCCCTGAAAGAAGGCAGCCTTGGCCTGCTAGGAGCCCAGACTGTATCTGGCTCCACCCTGTCCCACCAGTCCCAGGCTGGGCTCCTTACTTTGTTGGCTCCAAACTGCACTCGTGCTTTTCCCTTCACCAGTGTGGCACTGATCTGCATGATCACGGACTCTATTGAGTAGGCACTGCTCCAGCCCTGGGAAATAGGGAGCGACAAAGCAAACCAGTCAGGAGAGTTTTCAGAGAAACGCTTTGCTTGTTCTCTAGCAAGCAGCTGCATCTACAGAAGGGCCCTTGCCCTTCACTCCCAGCGCAGCTATCACCTGCCTGCCTGGGTCAGTGGGTGAGGCCCTGCCGGGCAGGATGAAAGGGCCACGCTATGCCTATCACCCAGCCTGGGGTGGGGAGAGTCTGTGTGTGTGTATGTGTGTGGTAAAGCTCAGCCCAGCCCTGCCCACACCAGCCTGGCCATGAGCGAGACACACTCACCTGTTTGGTGAGAAGTTCCATGCAGATGGCACCTCCGCCCAGAACATACCTGCAGAAGAAAGGTCAGTCAGTTGTGCCTGGCAAAAGCTCCACACCCCTTCCTCACCCTCAGACAGGGGCTGCCCTCTGCCCTTTCGGAGCCACTCACCCTCCAGAGAGGACTGGAGACACAACCCTGACAAATGGTGGGTCAAAGGGAAAGTTATCCTGAGAGAGAGACAGAGGCAACAATCAGGGAAGGGAGGCCAGTGCCCTCCACAGGACTGTAAGGCAGAGAAGGAAGCCTAGCCCAAGGCGGGAGGAACTAGAAAAGGAAACAGTCTTACTTTAAAGGAGAAGTTAAGTAGGATGAAGTCGGCTCCTTCTTTCTCTTTGAGGATCTGGAGATCGTTGTGCAAGGCGCTGTCCTGGTCAACTCTATGAAGCAACAAGTCTGGGCTCACACTCCTGGTCCCAGCTCAGGAGCCTCATGACGGCTCGCACACCCCCAGGCTAGCAGCAGAGGGACAAAACTGCCCACACCCACTCCCAGGACCCTGCAACCTACAAGCTCATAAGACTGCCCTGGAGACTCCCACCACTCACACCACTCCTCAACTTCCTTTCCAATCCCAGAGTCCCCACTCACTTGAGGAGTTTGACATTCCAATCATACAGACTGTCATTCACGAGTTCGACTGCATAGTTTCCTGAAAGGCGGGAAGACGACAGGTGTTATTAGGATAGTCCAGGTGCTAAGTGGTCCCTGATGGAGCTCCCTCTCAAGCTTAAAGAAAAAAAGATCAAAGGCTCTAAGTTCACCCCAGATGGACATGCATCCAATCTAAGCCACGGCTTGAGGAGTTCCATCCTTGGCCTGAAAAGTTCATAAGCATTTGAATGTCCCAAACCTCTCAGGGCCCCTTGCCACTATCACATCCTTCTCTATGAGAAGCTCCTGTTCAGGCCCCTCTCCGAGGCAAACTCACCGCCTTTGAAACTCTGTGATCGGTATATATCCCTGAGCTCCTTCATCAGCCGGTCAGTGGCCTGCACCGAGCCAGACACTGCACCCTGTGAGGGAGGGGTGACAGAAACACCTTATGGTCATGGGGTTTGGAAATATGCATACTAGACCTTAGGGGCAGTGTGGCACCTTGCCCAGGATTTTGGCAAGGATAAGACACACCCATAACCCACCCAAAAAAGGAGAGTCTGCTCCCCATACTGATATGCGACGACCTACCACCTCCCAGCCAGTTCCCACCAACCCCTTGGCCCAGGTTCTCCCTAGAAGGCACGTACATTTAAGTAATCTTGCCTCTGGTTCTTTTTAATTTTCTCTAGTATGGCCAAGTTTTCTTTTCCAATGCCATCATCCTCAGATTTCTTGCCCTCAGCTGGCTCTTCCTCTTTCATTTCATAGTGATCTAGGTCTTCTGTGTCCTGGAGGAGATTTGGGATGGGAGTGAGATAGAGGAGGAAAAAAACCAACACAGGCTGTAGAGAGAGGCCATCAGCTTCCCAGTCCCGTTTGGCCTAGAGCCGCAAGTTAAGGGGAAGAGTGGTCTATCTGGCAAGCTAATGAACACAACACCCTTTCCATTCCTGGAACAATTCCCAGCCCCGTTCCCTCCACAATCTAAATAACAAGATAAATCTCCCCTCCTATTCAGTTCTCAAGCAGCAGAACTACAGAAGGACCCAGGGAAAGCAAGCAGGGATTCAGCCCTCTTGTTCCCCAGACTAACCCTGTTCCAACCATCCCTAAAACCCTCCCTTGGCAGCAGAAACTCTTCCTTAATTTCTAGAATGACTCTGGCCTGACATTGTGACTCAAAGCTCATGTTTCACCAGATGACTATTGTACCCAGGAGTTCTCAGCACTCCAGGTCTAAAGGAGAAACCTGGATCAGAAATCTCCTGCCCTCCCTACAAGTGCAGGGCCTGAATCAGGTATGCAGAGGCACCCACTGCCAGGATGGAAATGAGGGAGGTCCGGAACAGAATTAGCCCCTATTGACTCTGCTCTAAGTGAGCAAGCAGTTCACTGTGCACAGGGGAGGGGGAGCCCATATCCAGGATTTGGCCCCTCTCAGTCAGGTGCTGGAGGGGTGGCACAGAGGGCTGTCCGCTGTCTGAGAAGAGATAAGTTTCACATGTCATTGGCCCTTTCTGCATCTTAAGACCCTAACAAAGTTACAGAAGTTGCAGAACCCAGGTCATTAATCCAATGCTAGGAAACAAAGCCATCAGCGTGATCTCCTCACTCTGGCAGGACACGGTTAATACTAACCTCCTAATTATTACATTAGCTGCTGACATCTACTGAATGTTTATATCTCAGGTACTGTACTAGGTGCTGTTCACGCTAGCTCATTTACTCCTTACAGCTACCATGCCATTATGGTATCATTAACCCCCATTTACAGACGAGGAAGCTGAGGTTTCCTGAGGTTATTTATCATGCCCAAAGTAATACAATTCTTTAGCAGAGCTAAGACATGAATCAAATTCTGTCTGGCTCTGAAGCTCAAGTTCTCAACCATTATGTTAATTCTGGAAAAGTATCCATGTTTTTAGAGATTCTATCAGATCAATCATCTAGCACTTATCATGTACTATATGGAGCATTTCACATGCAATGCCTCATTTAATCTTCAAGACAACCATATGTAGCAGATATTATAATCCTGTATTATAAATAAGGGAACAGCAGCTTATGAGATTAGATAAAATTCCTCAAATAAGATAGCTAGCAGATACAGGATGTGAATTCAGGACTTACTCCAAAGCCATCTGAAATTAACCCGTTGACTATTTGGTTTAAATAGATTTGCACTTAACTGTCCTCAGTGGTTGGAGGTGGGTGCCCTGTCTCCTCTACTACACTGGCTGTTCCTCCAGGTCAGTAAATCTTTTTTTTTTTGTCGAGGAAGATCAGCCCTGATCTAACATCTATGCCAATCCTCCTCTTTTTGCTGAGGAAGACCAGCCCTGAGCTAACATCCATTGCCAATCCTCCTCCTTTTTTCCTCTTTTTCTCCCCAAGGCCCCAGTAGATAGTTGTATGTCATAGTTGCACATCCTTCTAATTGCAGTATGTGGGACGCCGTCTCAGCATGGCTGGACAAGTGGTGTGTCGGTGCACGTCCAGGATCTGAACCTGGGCTGCCAGTAGCGGAGCGCACGCACCTAACCGCTAAGCCATGGGGCCGGCCCCAATAAATCTGTCTTTATTCCTTTGGTGTTTTTCTCTCCCCTGTTTTTCTCTCCCCAGTTCTAGACTGGAGCTCTGTATATAGTGGGCACTCAATGCTGCTGACTGAAAGAGCTTCCCACCAATGCCACCTTGGGTGGCAAGCCTACCTCAGGCATCTCCTCATCTTCATCTTCTGAAGACACGTCTTCCTGTGTGCACTGTGGTGGGGAGGGGAAAGATGGAGATTAGAGCCCCAGTGGCTTCCCAGAATGCAGCCACTGACCTACTCTCCTGGGCTCCAGGTTTGGAAGCTGTGTGCCTGCCCATAATGCTGCCAGCCTCTCTACCACTCAGATCTGAGTGGATGCAACAGCCCAGAGAATGACTTCACTACCAGCCTATTATTCTCCTCCTGCCATATGCCAAAGAACAAAAAAGAAGCAAAATGGCTGCTTCTGTTACCCATCTCATAACTCTCAGTTTAATTTTCCCAAGAGCCCTTCCTTGACTCAACTGTCTCTAGACTGACATTGCGTTCTTAGTTCTTAACCGGGGGCCTGGGTCCCCAGTGGCCACCAACTGTTACTGCTAATGGTAAAAATCCCCCCTTCCTCTTGTCATGAAGGATACTGTCCAAAAAAGTGAGTTTTAATAGGAGAGGTAAAGCTACTAGTGCCCCATTTAGCTGGATTCCCATCTGGAGAAGAAAGAGGCCAGAGTCACAAAATGTGTGTGTGTTTGGAGTGGGTGGGGTGAAGAGAAACTACTGCAGATTCCTCTCAATTAACATGTATTTATTGAGTGCTGTGTGTGAGGCAACTCTGCCCAACAGGGCCCCAACCCCCTCAGCTGCTCACCTGCTCTGCTGGCAAGGGCTGATCCAGCATCTCCACATCTGGATGCTGAGGGAGGTTATAGAGTTTACACAGGTCGGAGATGATCCTCTTCAGATGCTGCAATAGCTGGGGGTAGGGGACCACAGTGACATCAAATACTCCGTCCCCACCCCAATCTGGACAGGTGCATGCATGAGCTCTTAGCTTAGACCCCATATTGGTACCTAGTTCCCTAAACCTTATGGACCACATGGCTGTGGGAAGGAGTTTACTGGGCCAATCCTGGGGCTGGTGCAGGGCTCTCCCTCTGGCTTCAGTGAGCAACTCCCCTAAGAAGTCTGCCCCCAAATGTTGAGCCTACTGCACCATCCACTTCCCAGATATATCTCCCTTTCACAGGATGTCTTCAGGACATGGGCCTCATAGAAAGAAAATGTACCCCCACCCCAGGGTGTTACCCTCACCAGAGTATTCCCTTTCTTTATGTCCACCAGCCTCTCCAAGACAGCAGCCAAGTTAGGGTCATCGGACTCCACCGACCAGATGGGGGGCACAGCAGGGTATGACTCCTGAGGGGAAAAGAGCAGGGAGAGTGTTGAAGATGGGTGACTCTAGCAAAAGCTTGATTTTGCCTGCCCTCAGCTTCCCAAGTCTTCTAGTCCCTCTGCTCTTCCCCTTACACACACACAAAAGCCCAGCTCCGCAGGTCAGTATCTAACCAAGCAGCTTCCCAACAAATCCTAGACCAGGAGAAAAGGTGCCTGGAAGGACCCTTTCCAAGAAGCCTGAACCCTTTTCTTTCTTTCCTTGAGAGTAAACATCAGAGAAAGCACCACAGCCAAACTGCTAACAGTGAGGGAGGCCTCCTATCTACTGTGCCGCCTATACAAGTTCCAGACTTGAAGTTCTCCCACACCCAGCACAGAGGCCTCCAACCCTTCTGCCTTTCAAACTCCATAATCAGCTGAGGAAGGGACCACCTCATGACAATCACACTGATGTGAAAAAGCAGAGGCTGCAGATCACTTTCATTTTAGCTAGGGAAGGAAGAATAAAAACTAAATTATAGCTCCAGAACCTAAAAGTAAAAGGGTAGCAGGAAGAATCTCCCCACCTCACTCCCAACAGAACCCCTCAAAGGCCAATTCTCCCCACTTCTCCCTTGGGAACCTGCCACCCTCTCAGTCCAGGCGTAGGCTGTAGGGCTCCACATGGCAGGCTGGGAGAAAGAAGCCTACGCTGCTAACATTCCCAGCATTCCTGAGCCATGGTGCCAAATGCAGCCTGACCAAACTCCCCCTCTGCCCAAACCAAGGGGGCCAGTTCAGGCCAAGTCTCCTTTATAGGGGCTACAGGGAGTCTCACTGAGAACCTTCTAAACTAACTTTCTTCCAGAGACAAAGACAGTAGATGGCGTCTGCCAACTGGAAGGGCAGCTAGAAGGAGGCAAACCTAACCTTAAGGAACTGGAAGCTTAATTCAGGAACAAAATTAACTTTTGAGGTTTCTGCATATGCCCAGGAAAACTTAACCACTTCTACAGGGGGTCTTAGCTCTGCCATGACTCTAATCCTCAATGCTGGAGGAAAACAAATCATCAAAGATGCTCAAGTCTTCACCTGACTAAGCCACACCCAGTCCTTCAATCTTAACTTTTTAGTAGGAAAAAAGGTGGGGGACGGAAATAGAAGAGAGAAGAGGAGGGACACACGAGTTTTGGTGAGGCGCCATCCAACCCAAGCTGAGGCTTGCTTCACCAAACACGGACCTGGTTTGATGAAGGAAAGGGACAGAAAACAAACAAGAACCATGTAAATTGAATTCAGGCACCCAAGTGCCACACGATTCACAATTCTGTCTTTCCCCAGACTACTCCCATTTGCAGTGGACCTGCCTGGATAAAGTACTCTCCCCTGACTCCTTAACCAATGCCCGCGGCAGGGAGAACACTATCACAGTAGGTAGTATCAACCGATGTAAGTGCTACACCATGCAGTATGACATTCCCAGATTAGCAGAGGCCACCCCTCTTCAAGAGATGTTTGAGAGTAGACTAGCCAGGAGACATGTAAGGTGTCTCTTAGTCCAGCATGATGTTCACTGGGGGGAAAAGGAACTGTTCTTGCTCAGAATAAAGGGGACAGCCCTAGACATCTCCATCATTACCAGGAAAAGCAACAACCAGGGCAATTGGAGACATCCACAGGGAACAGGAGGGGAGTGGCAAATAAGCTCCCAGCTGGGGCAAAACGAGGAGAGTTAGAGGTTACACCAGAATAAAAGGAAATCGAAACAAGAGGAGTCAGTGAACTGCAAACTATCACTTCGTAAAACTCAGAGAGTAAAGAGGGGCTGCAACGAGAGACGCCTGGGCAGGGATCCCACAGGTGGCAACGTCCTCAGTCAAAGGTACTACTGAGAAGGGGGCATCGATGAAACGTGCGGAGTTCCAAGCCAGGTCCTTCCAGCTGAGGTCAGTGCAGAGGCCTGGAACCTTGAGATGAGAGTGGGGGGAAGAAAGAGGCAGTCCTAGGTGGCAAAGTAAAGTCGTGGAGTAACCAAAAGCAGCCAAAATCACAAACCTTGGGATGTGGGTGGGTTAGTGGAAAGGGGTAGTCGAGGCGCCATATGTCGGGGTGTCCCTCACTATGAAGAGTTAACGGTAGAGATTCTGGGTGCACGGCAGAACCTCAAGTGGAGAAACAAGTGTAACCTGGAGAAAAGGAGCCGAACCCCAAGAGGGGATTCGGCCTCCCAGGTCCTTCGAGAAAAGCTGTGTAGGGTGATCCTGAGTCCCTGACAAGGGGGCCCCGGAGAGGCGCAAGCGACGGGGTCCTCACCGTGATGTTGCAGTGGATGCGGACGGGATCCCCAGGCACCGACCCCCGTGGGGGAAGATGCGGTCCGGGCGCGGCCCCCGCCCCGGCCCCTCCAGCCCCAGCCAGCAGGAACTCGCAGCTCAGCTCGTCCAGGCAGGCGCTGGCAATGCGGAAGCGCTCGTGGCCGCGGTGGAAGATGGACTCGAGCAGCTTCAGCTCCCGCCTCAGGCAGGGCCC